AGATAGATAGATAGATAGATAGATAGATAGATAGATAGATAGATAGATAGATAACTGCAATAAAAATGTCTTCAGAAAGACTAGATAGGTTATGAACTATATCTCTAGTCTGGAGGGACTGTCTAATGTACCTTGTTTCTGAATTATTTCTGAAATTCTGAATGAAGTTGGTATTTTGCTTTATATAATAATTTATGGCAAATATTGAGCTTTCACTGTTTCTAATTCATGTTAGTATTAGAACTACAAACTCATTGTGATTCAAGTAACTGTTTATTGAAAAGCCATTAGAACAATACTGTGTTCTCACAAACCAACTGTAGCAAGATTTCAGTAATTGTCTCCTTCCCTCAAACAGCTGTGGATTATGAAATAAGTGTGGGCTAATGCTGTATATTTTTAAGTTATCGACTTCTTTCACCTGAGAATCTTGAGTTTTGTCATGATGTTCTTTCTTCCACCCCACCCCCATCACAGGCGGCATGTTTTCTACCTTCAACATCACCTAAACGGTAGGCTTCCTCCCAGCTTGACTCCCATGTCACCGGCAGACTGCTCAGGGGGGCCTTTGAATGACTTGCACCTGGTTCCAGCAAGCCCTCAACTATCTCAGGCAATGGAAGTGGATGGGCTGAATGACTCTGGCAAGCAAGGCTATTCCCAGGAAACTAAGCGCCTGAAGCGGACACCGGCTCCAGACTCCCTAGGCCTAGAGATGGAGCACAGGTTCATTGATCAAGTACTGTCCACTTGCCGGAACGTAGAGCAAGCCAGGTATGCCAATGCATACCGAAAGTGGCTGGTGACTTTGAGTCAGTGAAAGGGGTGGGTTCATCCCAAGGAATTCCCTTTAGTGCAATATTGCTTTCCTTTCTCAATGCCATAGTTGCATGAACCGACTAGCTAACTATGTATTCTTCATCTATAGCTTAAGTCTGTAAGAACCTTTTGTTTTATTTATTTTGTTAAGCGCCGGCATTCCTTTGGGCATAAAACAATTGTATAGTTCCTTCCTGCTAAACAGTGTCTTAACTTTTTTTTTCCTTTTGATTCCATGCCCTTTATATTTTGATATTTGGGCTTCTCATTTGGTTCTTGAGATTGGTTCACATATTTTACTCACCTCAGTTCCGTTGCTACATAGGCAGTTTCTTTAAAAATTGAAAATTTATGTTGCGGTCCAGCTTAAGAATACTAATGCATATGCAGAAGGACTTGAACTAATTGCAGTTTTGAGAATAAAATGGCTGGCTGGCTGGATGTGAAAATGTAAGCCACTTCTTTCTCAAGCATGTTCTCCAGGTATCCACTAAGAGAACCAAAGCCAGGAGTGTTAGAATTTATATAGAAAAAAAATGCTTCCAATGTAATCTATTTTTAAATGATTATTTAAAAGAAACTAAACTAATTTAAGAGTTTATGTAATTGTAGTACTGAAAAATTATTTTTATTACTAGTTTTGATAGATTGTTTTTACCTCATATTTGGTATATGCCAAAACAGCAAGTCAGCCCTTATAAAATAAATTTTTTTAAAAAACCCACAAATGCCATTTTTAGTTATTACTAGTTTTCTCCTAAAATCACTCATGAAAAATGGGAGAAACCTACATAGAAACATAGTCCTGTAAAGCTTTCTTTTTAAAAATGTAAGTTACTGAGATTATACTGGATAGACTGCAAACCTTTTTCACGTGGCTAGTCAGAATTTACTGGCAAAATCTAGGGAGAAAGACTAGTCTTGAGCATTAGTTCAGTTTTTACTTTTGAAATGAAACAACACACTTTGATACTAAATTCATCAGGGATAAGTACCAAAGTCCACGCTATAGCTGTATCTCAATAACAAGGGCTGTGTTTTTCAGGTTGGTGAAGCTGGGGTGGGAATGAGCCAAGTACCGTCTCCGTCTTTAATACACTGCCCCTTGGGTGAGCTGTGATTCCTTTGTGTGTATACCCTCTCTATCTCGCCAGTCCATTCCATACCTTCCATCATACACTGGTCCATATTTTTTCTCCTGCATCTTTTTTCAGGGATGCCCACCGAAGCTGTTATCTCTCATATAATAGCTTAATACCTATCTATAAACATAAGTGTGAACAGGAAGTGCCCCTCTCAAATTTCCTTTTAATGGTTGTCTTGGTTAGGATTTCTGTTGCTATAATGAAACACCATGAGTAAAAGCAACTTGGAGGGGAAAAGGTTTATTATACTTACACATCCAGGTAACAAATAGTCCATCACTGAGGGAATTCAGGACAGTAATTCAAACAGGGCAGGAGCCGATGTAGAGGTCATGGAGGACTGCTGCTTACTGACTTGCTCTCCATGGCTTGCTCGCTTCTTACTAGCAGCCAGGATCACCAGCCCAAAGGGTCACACCACTCACAGTGATCTGGGCCCACTCCCATCAATCACTAATGAAGAAAATCCCCTCTAACCTTGTTTACAGCCAGATGTTAAGGATGCATTTTCTCAATTGAAGTTCTCTCTTCTCACATGACTCTAGCTAGGGTCAAACTGACATACAAATAAGCCAGCACAAGGGTAGAAGCTGGCTCTTGTCCTGTATACATGTAAAATGCAAATGATGATGACAGAAATGAGCCCAGCCCTTGTGTTTCCCCTTTTCACACTTGGTAATGTATAGGTAGGTTGAGGGACAGGGAAAAGCAAGCCTCTCCTTTCTTGCTCTAGAGGACACTAGTACTTGAGTTAGACATATTGCATTAAGAGAAAAGAAACAAACTTTTACTGGGCATTATGGTCTTACTGAGTGGCAGACTGCTGAGCTGGGTGACACTTAGGAAACCAGGAAAAAAAAAATTTCTACTGGCCTCAGTAGATAGATCTTGCTCTCCTGGGGCAGAGTTATTTTTTACTATTTTATAGGATTTGGATAATAAAATACTTGCCATTATGAACATAGTTCCACAGCCTTCTATATGCAAAGCATATTTGGAATCATCAGATACCTCAGGTTCTATGTGGACCTCAATAGGGAAACCATTACATGATGTTTAGCTCCTCTGAGATTGAGTAGAAATGACACAGAAACGTACAAGCGACACAGCAGTTCCTGCTGCTGAATCCTGTCTTTACTCAGTATTGCCTTTTTTTCTCAGCATCATTTTTAGTTTCCCAAGTAATAGGGCTTATATTTGATGTAATATATGTTAGGACATGAACATAAGCTATGCTTTATGAACATCAGCTAAATTTTTGCAGTGTTCCATGTCTTCTAAGGCTCAGCTCATGCCTTCCTGAAGCTGTGGAGTCCTCTAATATATCATGGTTTCATCTTCCTAGTAGGTAGTAAAAATGCAGATATCTGACAGATCCTGTTTCTATGTGGGTTTTGCATGCTACATTTTGAAATTAGCATCTCCAAGTGTTCGTTCAGAGGACTTAGAATTTCCTGATATGTTTTCCCTAAGTGTTTGGCATTTACCGTCAATAGCAAGCTACTGTGTTTTTGACCAAATGAATTCATGCAGTAGAAAAATTATGTATAATCTAGGGGCTTGTTTAGTCATATTCTTCTGCACATATGTTGCTGTTAAAAGGAAAAGATAGTTTAGTTTAGATTGGCACTTTGCATCTGATTTTTACTCCTCTATGAATCAAGAAAACTACTGACACACAAAAAGCAGTAAGATCTTTTACTACAACCCCGCTGTATCTGTTTTTTTGTTTTGTTTTGTTTTAGGTCTGTCTGTTTTGGTAATTGTATTGCCAGATTATATACATATGCCCTACACATTATGAAGACTTAGTAACTATTAAGTTAATAACTAATTAGCTCTCTAAGGGAAGGATTGGTCACGAATGGCGGAATAATGATCAGGAAATTAATGAATTGTGAGTGAGTGATGTGGGCTAGCTTTGTCACTCGCTAGGAGAGCTCCCACATGTAAACTTAGTGAGAATTAGACTTGGTGTCTTCATGACTTTGTTTGGACTTGGTGACTCTCAGTCATGAGATGGAACTCTAGAATTCTTTTAGCTGTCCTTTGTCTACACATCCATTTGGTAAAAATACTGTTTTCTTTCACTAGATGACGTTGAGCAGGTCGTGCATAAAGAACCAGCGGCACATTTGAGCTGCTGGAATAATTCTTGTACTTTAGAGACTTGTTGATTTGTACGTTTGTACGTGAATTATGCTGATCCCCAACTTGAACTGTGGACCTTTTAGGTACTCCTTGAACCTGTGTGTGTCCTTTTTTAAGCCTAAGGATTTTATACCTTCTTTAGAAGCTCTGGGCCAAGACGTTCACTAACCACATTTCTTCTGTTATGGCACAGTTCTAACTTAAGCTAAATGCTTCATTAATTCTTTCCTTTTTGTTTTGCCGGTGCTGAGGCTCAAGCTCATATTTGTTAATCAGTTATAGAATTAAATATATACATATTATCACCAAAAGCCACTTATAGTTTCAAGTAAGGGCTATGTAACATACAATGTAGAAGCCAGATTTTGAGTTTAAATGCAGCAGTCTGTAGAAAGCATATGTGGTAGACATTATCATTTAGATAATGTTCAGATCCTCTCAGTTCATACTGTGTGTGTGTGTGTGTGTGTGTGTGCGCGCGCGCGCGCGCATGCAAGAGTATGTCTGTAGAACTTGCTACAAATTGTCAGTCTTGCAGTTTTCTCTTACATAGCAAAGGGCAGTGTCTGATGTGGGCCAAATGAATTGTCGGAGTGGAATGACTACCATTCAGGCATCTTAGCTGGCTCCCTAAGTCAGGGAAGATTCAGCTGTAAAATAAATAATGGATAATCCCCGCCCCCCCCCCTTTTTCCCTAAAAAGCTCTTTGGGCTTACTGTTATTTTCCCACTAGAAAATTGTACCTTAAATTTTTAAAATGCTTTATTCTAAGGTTTTTGAACATTGTAAACATCATATCTTTGTCTTAAAACTGCAAACCCTAGCAGTATGTCTACCCTGCACACACAGTCTGTAATGAGAAGCACGTTGGGGTGCATACTGGGAAATTTCAGCAAACTCAGGTTCATAGAATCATTGAGAAAGAAAAAGCCACCCCAAGAATTCCACATACTATCACACAGTGTCTTCTTTAGATAACTGTACAGTGTGTTATCTTGAGTGCCTTTCCAACTTCAATGTGTGGCACAGGGTTAGCTTACACTGAATGCTTGTGTTTAGGCAGTAAGAAGCGTAGACATTTTGTCAGCTCATTATGACAATGAAGTAGAATTCTGATGGGAGAAGATAGGACCGTTTGAGTTGTATTTCATTAATTGGCAATTTTTAAATGCCCTATCAAGAATACCAAGACTTAGAATTCATTCTTTCTCTTTGACAAGTAATGTTTTCAGCTTTGGAAGCATTTACAAATACAGGGCAGTGTGCGCACAATTAGAGACACACGAAAGTCTTGCAGCCTCTGCTTGAAGGGAAGTAGGCATCTTGGTGCACGTAGAGATCAGGATCAAGGGGACCTTTGCCTTATTCTGAGGACCTGCCTTATCCCCCAAATTCAGGTATGGGGAAAATAGTTAAAAGGGGGAAAACGGGACTGGCTAATACCAAAAGAAAAGTGGTAAACGCTAAAACAAAATTTCAATTTTTCTGTATTTATGTGTGGAAGGGGAGGGCAGGACTGGCGTACTTCATGATAGCAAATAGTTTTTCATTATGATTTCTTAAAAATCTGTAGTTAAGATTCCAAAGTGTTTTGCAGAGGATTCCTAAATACTGTATCTCTGTTTGTTTGAGTTCATAATTGACGCAGAAACGAATGTGTCCTGTGTAGATTTAGGATTGGAGGGGAATTCTCAGGCTCCCAAATTCTTTACCCTCTCAGGCCACCCCTGTTACCACAAAACAACCAGAGACTGTTGGCTTAAAAATAAATGGCGATTAAGGTGATCTGCTGATGAAAGGGTTTGTGTTAAAAGATATTAGCTGTATGTAGTTTGTGCTTTCTGAACAAGAGCACAAGCCACAAAACTGACCCTGACATTTATTAGTCTGTTGTTGCTCCTCAGGGTGTAGAAGATTTAATCAATTTAGAACACTTTATATTCTGTGTCCAAAAAGAAAAGGCAAAGTATGCAAAATACATTGCTAGCTATTACTGTGCAAAAGCTAATGCATACCATCTTGCTGCTGTCCTGTAGTTGAAATTATGAATGTTATCATAAATGTTGTTCGTGAAGAGAATTTCTATGTTATGTTTCTACTTTGGGGAGGTGGAGGAGATTGTATTTTGTTTCCATTGACATTCTTAGTCTTTAAAAATCAGATTGAGGAAAATAATCACTGTTGTTTTGTAAACTGACAGCTGTTTGCTTCCTAAGACTTCTTTTCCTCTGTGAGTACGAGATGCAAAACCCAGGCAGGTTCAGAACATCACATAAAGCTTCATGTGTTGTGGGAAATTAACAAATCAGAACTGATAAATGCTGGAGAAGGAATATTGTTAGCATATCTCTAGCTTATCATTGTCTACAGTCTTAGTTTCAGGTGAGCTATACTATTTTGCATGGAATATACATTATCATGTTTAAATATACAAGGCAAGATCCACAGTTGAATAACATGGCAATCTAAGTTGAGGTTCTTTTTAATTATCAAAATGTGTGTGCACGCAAAGTATTTTTGCTTAAGGCAGTTTTCTTAACAGACAGCCTCCTCCAGAAAAGTTAGAAACTGGCATAAATGTCCTTTTGCCCTATTTAAATATTTATGAAAACGGATTAGGTGTATGGTGGTTTATAAACCATGTTATTCTGTTTTCCCTCCGTATTATTAAGGAGGCAGCCTTTTTCTTATGCCTAGCAATCACATCCCTATGAGCACTGTGTGGGGTACAGCAGATGATCTGCTCATGCTTTTGAAGCGATGGATAATACCTATGAGCTTGGTTGTTACTGTGCCGTGGGGATGTGTGCTAACATCGACTCCCACGCCACTCCCCTGGAAATGTTCATTTATCCCCACACCCAATGCGTGTGTTTGAGGCAGGCAGTCTCTTTGTTGCTTAAAGAAGTGGTGTAGATGGAGTGCAAGTATGAGCAGGTGTTCAGCAAGCACTTAGTCAGCTATTGCTCTAGCACCATGCTAACCTAGCTCTCTCCAGGGAGACTGGTGCCATTCGTTAGACAATGAAAAATGTTACTGTGTGACATGAATTATTACCCTTGTTTGTCTAGGCTGGAGTTAGAAACACAATAAAGATATTTAATAGAACCATGATATGAAGACCAAGAATTGGAAAAAGCAGTATCTTCCTGTGCAATGCCCCTTTAATAAATGTCTCTAAATATAGGCAGCTGAACTCTTTAAAGAGCTATGCTGTCTCCTGCATTCCATTCATGTATTGGCAAATCCAGTGCTTTCCAGCAGAGGCTCAATTTTTATTTGTCCCCAATTCTCAGTTGCTTTCCATTGTCTTAGAATTGATAATGATAAAATAGGAAGTTACATCAAGTAACTTCATGTAATTTTCTCAGAATATGTTTGATATGAGGAAGAAATTTTTATTGTAGTCTGGGTATCCATTCTGAGTTGTCCTGATGCAAAAGATTAAGCAGTTTTGAAACCAGCATTCCTATCTGGACTGTGAGGACCCAAGTGTGTAGTGCAAGTGTAAATAGGGTGTGCCTTCGGGGAAGCTTGCTGCCGCATGGCTGTCACTGGCTGTAGTCGGCTCTGGAGTTTGGATGTATTTCGTTCTAGGAGAGTAATGACGTGTATACCAGACTAGATCGCATACTGTTTCTGAGCTGAAAACAATAAGAGATGAAGTATCCTAAGTACACCAAATATTTCTATACTAAGAGGAAGACTTTTTAAAAGTAACAGCAACAACTTTTTCTAAATACACGTTTTGGTATGCTAGTTAATTGCTTCGTTTAACATTATAAAACTGGGGGATTTCCACAGCAAAGGACGATCTTAGATATGATACTGTACTATCAGAATTCTCTGTCTGTGTTAAGTTTACCTTGTTGGTATTTTCTAAGAAGGGCATTCGGTAGGCTGCAGTTAACATTAGACATCAGTGTGCTCATGTGCACACCACGCTCACACTGTATTGGTTTAGCTAGTTTGCTTATTGGAGACACCTGTCTTCACTGATAGGTAGCGTGTCCCCTGGTATGGCAGTCTGCATTGAGGTTCGTTTAGCTCTTATGTATAGCAATCCACAGTTTTAAAAGGATTAAGTCTCTTGAAATGTATACCCTGGAGGGGTATAAGAAAAAAATCTTGTAAAAAGGTATGTGTGAAGTACACTTGTGGTATTTGGGGGTGTAGTACCCCAGCATGATTAACTTATGCTGAATTCTAAGGTTACCACTTGGACTTTTGGCTAACATTAGATGTGAATTTTAAGATTAACATAATCATGTATTGTCTATAGCTATGGTGTTCAATGGAAATGTAACGTGAGCCACAAAGAAATTATAATCTTCTAGTAGCAATGTTTAAGAAGTGTAATTAACTTTAATGATATCTCTTATTTAACTTAATCTATTAAAATACTATTTTAACATATAATCACTAACAAAATTAAGGAGATATCTATCTCCTTTTTTTTTTTTATATTAGTCTTCAGAATTCAGTGTGTGGTTTGCACACACTGACCCTCCACGCTGGCCATGTTTCCTGTTCTCAGGCTCCACGTGTGTGGCTAGGTGCTGCTACATCAGCAGTGCGGATAGATAGGGCACAGAGTATAAATCTGTTTCATTTTGGAGGTCACAAGTGGACAAGGAATTTCAGTCCTTTAAGGATTGTTTAGAAAGAAATCTAATAGAGTTTTCCTTCACTTTAATTTACATTTGCCCTAGAAACTGGATCAACCTGATCCAGTTTGCCAAGCATTATTTGAAGAAAAAAAAATATTGTGCCATGGAAAATACCACACATACTGTCATAAGGTACTGATGGTGCAGTAACAGCAGTTTTTAGTTTTCACTAAAGTCTGTCCTGTTTCTTCAAAGATAGTAGCTTAAGTTGCATGCTTACTGTATTATTTGTACCTGTTTGTTTTTATTATTCTTGTTATATAATGATACGTATTAACCAGCAGCCCTAAGATTCTAATCTATGCAGCCGTCTTCCAGAACACAATGATTTACTTACTAAATCATGATAAAAGGCAGAGAAATAGGATCAACCATCTCTTTTCCCATTAGATTTGTTTTTTAACATGGGGCCATGTACCAAACCAGCTGTAAATTACTGTATTTCTGTAGAGTGGAAACGGTGTTGTCGTTGCTGATGTCTAAGTAAACATTACCTCTCCTAAAACAAGTCCTGTGTGTGGTTTATCTCCGTGCACAATAAACTTGGCCGTGTCCATCTGCCGAGATGCCCAGCTGAGTGCCTTGATTGTGTTAGGGGGGTAAACTGTCTGAACAAAGTCGATTGTATTTATCTGTATCATATACAGAGAAAGAACAGAACCTTTAAAAAAAAAATCAAACTCAGAAATTGCATAGCTGTCTTTAAAATATATCAACAGTGACAGATTGACTTAAGAAAGTCATTATGCCCAGATAGACTTTATTTTTCTGTGTTCAAATGAAGGTCTAAAGTGAGACATTAGTAGTCTTATACCCTGTCTGGTCTCTGCATGCTGTAAGCCAGAAATAACAGCTACTTACACTTGGTGAACATGCTTCTAGATGAACCCAAAAAAGTAGCCTGTGGAGTAAATACTGTATTTACTCAGATTTCAATACTTCAGAAGGCTATTTGTGGAGACAGGCTTTGTTAACAACAGTTATATTAGCAATGATATGCTTTTATCTATGCATGTTTGTATAGCAAACAGGCTGTACACTTAATTTTGCATCATTCCAAAGAGCTATAAACTACTAAAAGTTGCATGGTGTTTGTTTGTTTGTTTGTTTGTTTGTTTGTTTTAGTATGGTAGGGAAAGTAGCTTATTAAAGAAAGTCTTAATTTGGACTAATAGGCAGACTGTACAAATATGACAAAATTAGTATTGGAAAGGTGCTTCTCCAAATGCAAGATTAGCACTAAGAACATGTGCCTGGCACACCAGCCAGCTTGGTTAATATGAGGAGCCTTTGCTTTCGTTCTGCACTTCAGACACACCATTTTCCTTGTGCTGTCATTTCAGAGTTTTACTTTTAGTATTGCATTATTTTAAAAAGAACAAGTGCATGAGTTCAAGGACATGAACAGGGTAGCAGCTGTCTCCCATGCACGCCTTCCCAGGGGCCAGGTCGGCCATCATCTGTAAGCAACAGTGAGTGCTCTTGCCTGAGAGACACCCTGTCACATGTGTCCTGTGTAAGGGTAGCGGAAATTGAAGGGACGCTTGTCCCCTCTTCTATGCCTCAGAAAAAGCAACAATCGGCATATGTTCTCACAGATTCTTGTATTATTACCTTCCAGGATAGACAGCATTTAACGTTTTTAAATCTACATGTCTCTTATCAAAGTACTTGGAGTCACAAAAGGCTTGTGTTGTACGTGTCAATCTTGGAGTAAAGTCACTGAGTGAAAGTTCTACCTCCTGTCTCTCGAGCCAGTGTACTATCTCATCTTGGTGTTTTTAAGTTGCTAGTGATCTCAGCAGACACAATTTTGAAAGAATATTAGAAGATCATTAAATAAATGGGGTTGGTAAAGCATTAATCACACGTTTGTGTTGTTTTCAAGCAAATTTTGTAATTCTGCCTTCTATTTAGTCCCTTGGGGGGAGTTTCCAGTTCTCTGAAGACATCTGATTTATGTCCATTATCTAATATAAAGGTCTTCATTAATTCAATGATGTCATGAGGGGGGGTGGCAAAATGAAAGCCTTCTGTGCAGCACTTCCTGGGTTGGAAATCACAAAAACCAACAGCAGTTTGAATGAGCGGCTCTTTTTCTATACACCCGTAAAATGAGAAGAATGCAGAATTGCATGGAAAATAGCCCACAGTTTAACTTTTGGAGTAAGATACAGAGCTGGGTACAAAGTAAGTTCCTAATTTTTTTAAACAAGGCTTAACGTCTTATATCTAGTCATTGCACAACTAACTTTCTGAACAACAGTAAAATTATTAGAGGAAAAAAAGGTTGCTTTTTAAAATAGAGTAAGGAGGAAATCCTGCTTATACCAAAAGACTGACGGAAAAGCTCTTAAACGAAGCTTAAGAAAAAGATTTAAACAACAACAACAAAACACTTTTTGAAAGCAACATTGATGTCACCAATGTACTTCAGATAATGTAAGTGATAACGTAGAATTATAAATGAAAAACGTTGAGAACTGTAGGTAAACACACACGTGCACACACAGTTCTGCACGTGCAAAACCGTAAAGCTAGACGCTGACATCTAAGAAGAGGGCAAGGAGAAGGGAGGGGCCGGAGAGGTGGCTCAGCAGCTGAGAGCTCTCGGACTTGATTCCCGGTTCCAGAGCGGGTCACGGCCACCTGAAACTCCAGCCCCACATGATCCAGGACCCCATTGTAGCCTCCTTGCACACACGCACAGTCATGCACTTAGCCTACAGACTCACAAACACACGTGTAATTAGAAATAAAAGTTTAAAATCCTGATGATGGTGGGACCCTGACAAAGACCAGAACACGATGAAAAACGCAGAAGTTGCCCGCTGGGTTCTGTTTCTTACCTGGGAAACAGGGAAAAGATCTTCACATCCACACAGGTACATAGATAGCACTTCTCTTATTATTAAGTGAGAGAAACATTAAGGAAATCAGGGTCCCGTAGTCTGGATTAGACAATATAGAAACTTCCCATTGTTGAGCCGTAGATTCAATACTATGTCAACTCCAGTGGATTTTTTTTTTTCCCCTACAGACATGGGCAGGCTATATGAAAATATGGATATGTTCACAATCTTGATTATGGTATTTGTTTTACAAGTATATAATTTGTAAAGGCTTATTAACTGTATATTGTGAATATGTTTGGTTCCATTTATTATGTCAATTGTACTGTAAAGCTGGTTAAAAATAATATAAATATTCTACTGATAATAGTTTGTATAAATTTGGTACTAAATAAACATGTTTACAAAAGTATATAGCAATAAAAAAGATTAGCATAGCTGTCACAGTCTTTTAAGATTTACTTATTTTTATTTTATATGTGTGATTATTTTGCTTGTATGTATGTAAGTATGTATACAGTGCCCTGTGGCCAACAGATTTGGGGAACTGGAATTACAGATGGTTGAAAGGCACCACATGGGTGCTGGGAACTGAACTGGGGTCTTTGGAAGGGCATCAAGTACTCTTGACCACTGACCCATCTCTCCAAACCCAACTGAAACACTTGTTAAAGAGACAGCACTATAAAGCTACAATAATTAAACAAATGTGGAACAAGACTACTAGATAAATAGACCAATGAAACCAGAGTCCAGAACTAGGCCTGCACATTCTGTTATTTTTTTTTTCTGATCAAGACACCATGCCATTTCATTAGGCAAGTTAAATGACAACTAATGCTTGTCCATATGGAAAGGAGAGCTATAACAACTACCTCACATAAAGACAACTTTAAATGATGTGGAACAAAGCGCCAAGTCCATAAAACTATAAAGAAATAAAAGAACAGATTTAAAATGAGGAACATTTGTTGGGGAGGGGGGGTTCACCAGTAAAGACACAGAGCCCAGGTCATTTATGCATATGGTTGCACACACATTCAAAGAAGACCTGAGAAAAGAGGGTTCTTATCTCGGGTTTTTCACAAGCAAGATGGAGAAGCTAAGTCAGAGCTGGGAAGTACCTGGATGAGAGCAGACAGTTTTATCCCACTATGCAAACTGGGGGCTTATCAGTTCAGAGAGTCTCTGCCCCTGCCATAGCTGGCCTCTGTGCTATTGAAAAAGACTTCACTGGACACACAACAAAGAATATGAGACTTTATGTTTCCAGAAAGATGTCAAACAGCAATTTTACAGCAAACTCAGAAATACTGAGAAACAGGACTGGCACATTTTTCAAAATACCCACCTTTCAACCAAAATATTACAAAGCACGGAAAGAAACAGTATAGACTATTCCCAAGGTTAAAAGAAAAATAGGTCCCAGACATGGTCTCAAAGAACAGCCAGACATTAGGCTCAGCAAGGCTTTAGCTATTTTAAATCTGTGCTTAAGTGATCAGACTTAAATGAAGAAAACAGGACAACTATGAACAAAGATGTTTTAAAGTTCTGGCAATTAAATACTGAAGAATTTTAACATACTAATAATAATCCAATGAGGTGGCTGTTTTTGGTTTTTTTTTTTTAAGCTTTAAAAAATTTTTTAATTACGTGTATTTGTGGTAGGGGTGAGTGGAAGTACCCACAGAGGCCAGAGGGGACCATTGGACTCCCTGGAGCTGGAATTGCAGGTGCCTGTGAGCCTCCTGGGGTGAGGGCAAGGAACCTAACTCAGGTCCTCTGTAATCTCAAGTGCAGAGCCATCTCTTCAGTACCCCATCCCTGCAACCAGTAGATTAAGTAGAAAACGTAGTCAGAAAACTTGAAGAAAGTCCAATTCCCAATAACCAAGTGGAGGAGCAGAAGAAGGAAAAGGAAAAGAAACAAACAGCCCAAGGGATCCCTGGAACCTCACCACTCTTGCTGGGATGGGAGTCATGGGTGAAGAAAAGAGGGAACAAGGCAAAAGGAATATTGAATTTAGAGTGGCTGTAAACGCCCTCCAATTTGATGAAAGACACTCATCTTTATTTTTTTTAATATTAGTTACAGTTTATTGTCTTTGTATCCCTCTTCCTCATTCCCTCCCTCCTTCATCTTCTCCCTTCCCCTTTCCAAGTCCACTGATAGGGGAGGACCTCCTCCTCTTTCATCTGACCATAGCTTATCAGGTATCTTCAGGCCTGGCTGCAAAGTCCTCCTCTGTGGCCTAGCAGGGCTGCTCCTCCCTTGGGTGGTGAGGGGGGGAAGTCAAAGAGCCAGCCATTGAGTTCATGTCAGAAATAGTTCCTGTTCCCCTTACTAGGGTACCCACTTGGAGACTGAGCTACCATGGGCTACATCGAGGCAGGGGTTCTAGGTTATATCCATACATGGTCCTTGGAGAAACAGTCTCAGAAAAGACCCCTGTGCCCAGATATATTTGGTCCTTGTGGAGCTCCTGTCCTCTCCAGGTCATACTAACTCCCCCTTCTTTCATATGATTCCCTATACTCTGCTGAAAGTTTGGTTATGAGTCTCCGTATCTGCTTTGATACACTGCTAGATAGAGACTTTCAGAGGCCCTTAGTGGTAGGCTCCTGCCTTGTTACTTGTTTTCTCCTACTTCCAA